AGCAAAATCGGATTATTGATTCTCTTTCTGTGCAGAAAATATACTTTTATTTTATTTATTTATTTATTTATTTTTTTTTTTGAAAATGTCGACTTTTGTGGCGGAGGTACCAGAAGCGGTGGACCCATATATTCCATCTATACAGCACCCTTTGGATTAATAAAAATATTGTGATGTGTGAAATTTGAAGACAATCGGATACTTATATCACCTTTTATAAGTGTTATAATTATTCAAAATGTTGACCCTTTGTTGGGGAGGTACTTGATGCAGTGGACCGATATTGGCCTAGGAATGACGTAAATATTAGGATTTGCAAAGTTGGATGAAAATCCAATTATCATTTTTCTTTCTGAGCATTTTTTGAAAATGCCGATTTTATGCAGGGGTTGGTACCAGAAGGAGTGCACCGATATTGCCCATCTCCGAACTCGATCTAAGTTTGACAAAAAAATTACGATGTACCAAATTTGGACCAAATCGGATACTCCCTTCGAGAGTTCTCGTGCGCAACAGCCAGATAGACAGACGAACGGACGAATGGACGGACATCGCTAGATCGACTCCAAATATCCTGAAAAGGATTTGGTCAAAAGGCACGTTTTGACCCCCTCTAGCCATATGCCTGTAGGTATAATAATATTACGATTTACAAAGTTTGGCCAAAAACAGATATTTCCTTCGAGATATATCGGGCGCACCAGACAGACAAATAGACGGACGGAAACGTCTACATCGACTCCAAATATACTGAAACGGATTTGGTCCAAAGAGACCTAAAAGAAACGTTATTTCGATGAGACACTTTTGACCGTATCAAATGATATATACCCTCTCTACCTATGTGGCTGAGGGTATAAAAATTAATTTTTGTCGTTCAGTGTGAGGATCTTATTTTCCTCAAGACATATATATTTTACATCCGGTTTTATGTTCTCACAAACAATTACTGTGGCCAATTTGACTTTGATTTGTGGCTAAGTACATACCAACAAAATCTGCATACTATTTATATGCATATATGTGCATATACATATGTTAAAATCAAGATAAATTCTTATTCATAATCAAAACGAATATACAGCCACCTCTACATCAATTATCCATTTTCAAAATATACATATGTCTATATATGCCACATACAGATTCCGATATCTAATATATCAGATGACGTTGATGCCAAAGATTGGTGCGAGTAGTGGTGGTAATAATATTGCAATGAATGAATACATCTCCATCCTGATCCACAGAGATTAGCAAAAGACCAGTTACAACAAACTTCAGACAGACCGACAGACTGAGAGAGGCAGGACGAAACGGACGGAGGGTGGACGAAACATTTATTGTGTTGTACGAAGAACATTCAAGAGCTGGACATGGAACAATTATGTTTTGTTGTAGTTGTTCAGTAGCTGGCTTAGAGCCAATTTAATAATATTAATAAATTTTATAGGATATTTTGTATGGTGATGTTGGCGAAATACTTGCCCTGCCATGCAAAATGACCAAAATAAAAGGATGTAATAGAAACGACAGGATGTAATAGGAAAAATTCTGGCTACGATGTTCTTTGGGGGGCGAGGATATAATTTTGTATATTTCAAGAGAATATGTGTGAGAACAAAAAAAAATCCTGTTTATATCAATGAAATCAAATGGATGCCCTTCTCTCTCTCTCTCTCTCAGTGTAACTCCTAATTTGTGTACCACACTCACACACACACAAGCATACAAAGATGAAGCCACAAGTATGCCAACCAAAAGTCAAAGCGATAATAATCATAACCAACATTATTATGGCCGAGTAAAGAGGATGTTATCATTCGGATGTCAAGCTAATATTAAAAATGCATAACGAATGAGAAGAAATAGCACATTGCAAAAGGATATGAATTCTCTTCCATAAGGAGGGGGAAAAACGGCAGAGTTATGAACGCTTTGAATTCAATTACATTTTATGACCGTTTTGTGTTTATTATCCAAAAACTTATGGATTTCGCTAGGGTGCCAAAAAGGGATATCATGAAGTCAAGTTAAATGAGGCTTAGGCATAGTGTTGGTGTTTTCGATATGTCAAAGAATTAGGAAGTGTTTTTATATTTTTATTAACTATACCCTACACCACAAGGTGGTCAGGGTATTATGTCTTTGTGCATTTGTTTGTAACAGGCAAAAGGAAACGAGATAGACCCATAGTTCCTGTTGATGATCTGCATAGAATCACATTCTGAGTCGATTTATGAATGTCCGTCCGTCCGTCTGTCCATGTATTTTTATAACCAAAGTACAGGTCGCATTTATTGCCCGATTCAGATGAAATTTTGCAAAAATCATTTGTTTGGCCCAAGGACGAACCATATTGAAATTGGAGATAATAGGTCAAAATTTAGATATAGCTCCCATATATATGTTCTTCCGATTTGCCTTATATTGTGCACCAAACGTGTAATATCGTTCTAAATAGTATGGAAGTTTGTACGTACAACCAGAATTTGATCGAAATCGGTTCAGATTTATAATAGATAGATATAGATATATAATATATATTGTTCGTCCGATTAGTTATTTTTGTCCTCCGCAGCCGTAATATGCACTCTGTAACAACGATATTTGGGAAAATATATCAAATATTACTCAGAAATATTCTTGCTAAATTTTATGGATATCGGTTAATGTTTGGATATAGCTCCCATATATATCTTCGTGCGATTTGCCTTTTATTGTGCACCGAAAGTGTAATATTAGCCCAAATGGAATGGAATTTGGTACTTAAGACAAAATTGAGTCTAGAAACCAGTATGTCAAATTTGGTGGAAATCGGTTCAGATATAGCTATAGCTTCCATATATTCTGTTCATCCGATTTGTTATATTTGTTACCCACAGCCGTAATATGGACTCCGTATAAACGATATTCGGGGAAATATACCAAATATAGCTCAAAAATACCTTTGCCAAATTTTATCGAGATCGGCTCAGATTTAGATATAGCTCCCATGTATATATAGCCGATTTCAAGGTAATAGTGAACCAAATCGATAATACAAGCCCGAATTGAAAATGCGCAAATGCGTCGACAAATTTAGTAGAAATCGATTCAGAGGAGGATATTCCTCCCATATATTTGTTCCATTGGACTCATAATTATTACTATATTCATAGTTGGTATGATTTAATGCTCACAAATTCTCCATTAAAACTATTATTTGTTATGTGAAGCTCTACTAAATATGCAAAGTGGTGTAGGTTATCATAAAGTCGGCCCGCCCGAATTTAAGGTTTTCTTTACTGGACTTTTTCTTATCTTATCTAATACATATATATTCCGAAATTAACAATATTAAAATGTAGAGGTCGATTTTACCGAAGGATGTTTACCCTTAGCCAAAGTCAGTTTATCTATATTAATAAAAGAGTAAAAAATTGGCTGACTGACTTAAGGGTTTATTATCCCAGACAAAATGACTGAAGCTAGAATCTGAGATTTTTCCAGAAAAAAAGTTATTCGACCTGGAATTCAAGCGTGATAGTGTGATTTCTTTATATTTGGCTGGAAAACCACAAGTGGCTATCGTTAGGGCACTCCCGCATTTAAATGTGAATAAATCTTTTGTGTCTCGTACCATCGCTCGTTACCCGTTACAGTGATACTGGTAGCGTAGCCCGACCTCAAGGAAGTGAAAGTGGACGGAAGAAAACAGCAACATCAGAAGTAAAGGTTCGAAAACTAAAGAAGCGACTTGATCGAAAACCGCGTCGCATTGGCCGAAAAATGGCCCGTGAGCTGAACATCTCGCAATATTCCATTCGGCAAATATTGAAAAATTACCTCGGAATAAAGTCATTGAGATTCCTAAAAGTGCAAAAACCGCAACAGAAAGAAAATAGACTCAAAAGAGCTAAAGAGTTGCTTCTCTTAGCCGAAAGTTGTAAACTGCCGAATTTGGTTTTCTCCGATGAGAAAACATTCGTTGTCCAGCAGTTTGTAGACAAACAAAATGATCGTGTTTACTTGCAATAGAGGTCAGCTGAAAATGTGCACCTTCGGCTGGCCACCAGAACTCAAGCGGTGGCCATGGTGATGGTGTGAGCTGTCATAACAGCCGATGGTCGCTCTCTGATCGTATTAATCGACCATGGCTTTAGAATAAATACCGAATATTATCGCATAACTATTTTGGAGGGTGTATTAAAGCCTTGGGCAAAACGCAAACATTTTGGCCGCCGACCTTGGACATTCCAGCAGGACTCAGCACCATCGCACTCAGCACGCCACCGCCACCCAAGAATGGTTACAAAACGAGGTTTCTCGCTTCGTTTCCAGCGCACAATGGCCACCAAAATCTCTGGATACCAATCCATTGGACTATTGTGTCTGGAGTATTTTGGAAAGCAAGGTTGGCACTAAAAAATACCAAATTGTCGATCACCTCAAGCAAGCGCTTCGTCGGGAATGGCCCAAATTCCGCAGAGCAACATTCGGGCAGCGTGTGATGGTTTCATTGGCCGTTTGAAGGCCATAAAGATGCTAAAAGTGAACAATTCGCTATTTCCGAAATTTTTTTCTTTCATTCAATAAAATTCAAAAAAAAGTAAAAATTTAGCTCCCATTCACATCTCTCTCTCCGATTTTACGTTCGATTTGCACGAATAGTATATCAGCTCAAATGGGATATATTTTTGGGAAATCGGTTAAGATATAGGTATAGTTCCGATAAATATTTTTCAATCAAATCGAGAGACACAAATGCCTCTGTCAAATTTATTGGAAATCGATTCAGACTGGGATATAACATACATATATTAGTTTCTTTCGCAGCATGTGGTGTAGGCTCTCATAACGTCGGCCCCGTCCGACTTTTAAACATTCTTTATTGATTTTATTTTCTTTTTTTTTCTTCACTACGAAGTGTGCAGCAAGTTCACTAGTAATTCTATTACAATGATTAATATTGGTCTACCTTTAAGATATATATTATGTGCTTCGATCATTTTGAATTTTTAATTTTTACGAAAAAATACATTAAATTCAACTTTCCAAGAGTTCAAAATTCCAGCTAATACTTTGAACATGTAGTCTCCATTTTGCAGTGGCACTGTTGCGAACAGTGCGCTGTCCAAAATAAGATTATCCACAATTATGTCATGCTGAAATAAAATTTAAGAATTATTTTATTTATTTGAAAATTTATTGGTGTTTGAAGGGCTGCAGAAAATGGTTTCCGGACAGGAATTGAAATTTTTTAATGGACTTCATAAAAAAGGTGAATTTTTTGACTTTGGAATTCTAATTTTTATGCCCTCTACCATAGTATGAAGGGTATATTAAGTTTGTCATACCGTTTGTAACACCTCGAAATATACATTTTAGACCCCACAAAGTAAGTATATTCTTGATCAGCATTAAAATTCTATGTCGATTTAGCGATGTCCATCTGTGGAAATAACTCTAGTTTCCGAACGAATTGAAGTAGATTGATAAAATTTTACTCAAATGTATGTTATGTCTGCAGGAGTTTTGATATTGAAAATGGGCCATGTGGGTCCACGTTTTGGTGTAGTCCCCATATAACGGTACCTCCCGATATTCGATACTTTGTTGATTTTAGCGACATTATTCCCCGGATATCTTTTAAATTTGGTATTTGATGTTCGTAATGGATAATACATCCTATGACAGGAGATTTTCTGTGCCGGTCCACGTCTTCGTATTACCCCCATATAACGGTACCTCCCGATATTCGGTATTTTGATGTTTTTAGCGACATTATTCGCCGGAATTGTTTCAAATTTGGTATTTAAGTTCGTTATTGATACTAGAGCCTAAGACAGAAAATCGTCTGTATCGGTCCACATCTTCGTGTAGCCCCCACATAACGGTACCTCCCGACATTCGGTATTTTGATGATTTTACCACCATTATTTACCGGAATTATTTCAAATTTGGTATTTAAGTTCGTTATTGATACTAGAGCCTAAGACAGAAAATTGTCTGTGTAGGCCCTCGTCTTCGTGTAGCCCCATATAACGGTACCTCCCGATATTCGGTATTTTGAGGATTTTAGCGACATTATTCACCGGAATTGTTTCCAATTTGGCATTTGAGCTTCGTAATGGATAATACAGCCTAAGGCAGAAAATTGTCTGTGCCGGTCCACGTCTTCGTATAACCCCATATAAGGGTACCTCCCGATATTCGGTATTTTGACGATTTTAGCTACATTGTTACAAGTTTGTTTTAAGTTTCGCTTTTGAGTATTGTAATGGCTTATGACAAACGTTACCTATGCAGGTCCATGTCGTCATATAGACCCTAATAAAACAGCTACATTGCGCATTTTAAGATTTTATTGTTTTTGAGAATTGTCAAATTCGTTCCAAATGGTGGAGGGTATTCAAAGTTCAGCCCGGCTGAACTTACAGCTTTTTTACTTGTTAAGACACATTAGTTGTAATTTATGAAGTACTTTTTGGAATTTTGCAAATTTTTATATAACCGTTCGAAAATCGTATTGAGGAAAATTTGTTGAACTCAAACTATCTAACACTTTTTAATTCCGACCTTAAAAATTGTACAATGTCAGACAACTTGTTTTTCCTTCTTTTCCCCAGAACTCCAACTCAGCAGCCCAAAATAAAAGAAAATAATTGACTTACATCATAGGGACAGGTGTGATTCACATTCGAATTACGCAAAAAGTACTGAGATAATATCATAAATATCTGATATTTTTTACGATTCTCAAAGAATTTACACAAGTCCGCAGTGGCATTTATCAAAAATGGCTGATAGCCGTTGGATTTTTTGTAGAGGGCCACATTGACCTGAAATAAAAAAGCAAATATTTTTGTCATTATTTTTTGTACCAACACCAATTATTCCTACACATAAAGAGGAGATTTGGTTAGTGAGAGAAAAAAAAAAGGATTTTCCAAAAAAAAAAAGTAAAAAAAACTGTAATTTCGGCCGGGAACTTTGAATACCCTCCACCATTTGGTACAAATTTTGCAATTTTCAAAAAAATAAAATCTGTTTATCAAAATTATCAAAATACCGAATATAGGGGGGTACCAGGGGGGTTATAAAACTTGGACCTGCACTGACAATTTTTTGGCATAGGCTGTAGTATCCATTACGAACTTCCAATGCGAAATTTGAAACAAGTCCGGTGAAAAATGTCGCTAAAATTATTAAAATACCGAATGTCGTTATATGGGGGCTATTCGAAGACATGGACCTGGACAGACAATTTTCTGTCACAGGCTGTAACATCCATTACGAACTTCAAATACGACATCTCAAACCATTTCGGTGGGTATTGTACCTAATATCGTCAAAATATCGAATATCGGGAGGAACCGGTTTATGGGGGCGCTACGAAGACGTGAACCTGCACAGACAATTTTTTGTCATAGGCTGTAGTATCCATTACGAACTTCAAATACCAAATTTGAAACAATTTCGGTAAATAATGTCGCTAAAATCACCACAATACCGAATATGGGGAGGTACCGTTATATGGGGGCTATACGAAGACGTGGACCTGCACAGACAATTTTCTGTCGTAGATTGTAGTATCCTTTACGAACTTCAAATACTAAATTTGGAACAATTCCGGTAAAAAATGTCGCTAAAATCATCAAAATACCGAATATCGGGGGGTACCGTCATATGGGGGCTATACGAAGACGTGGACCTAAATGGTTCGTTTTCTGTCTTAGGATGTAGTATCCATTACGAACTTCAAATACCAAATTTGAAACAATTTCGGTAAATAATGTCGCTAAAATCACCAAAATACCGAATATAGGGAGGTACCGTTATATGGGGGCTATACGAAGACGTGGACCTGCACAGACAATTTTCTGTCGTAGATTGTAGTATCCTTTACGAACTTCAAATACTAAATTTGGAACAATTCCGGTAAAAAATGTCGCTAAAATCATCAAAATACCGAATATCGGGAAGTACCGTTATATGGGGGCTATACGAAGACGTGGACCTACATGATCCATTTTTTGTCTTAGGCTGTAGTATCTATTACGAAATTCAAATACCAAATTTAAAATAGTTCCGGTAAATAATGTCGCTAAAATCAAGAAAATACCGAATATCGGGGGGTACCGTTATATGGGGGCTATACAAAGGCGTGGACCTACATGACCCATTTTCTGCCTTAGGCTGTAGTATCCATTACGAACTTCAAATACCAAATTTGAAACAATTCCGTTAAATAATGTCGCTAAAATCACCAAAATACCGAATATGGGGAGGTACCGTTATATGGGGGCTATACGAAGACTTGAGCCTACATGACCCATTTTCAATACCAAAAGTCCTGCAGACATAACATACATTTGAGTAAAATTTTATCAATCTACTTCAATTCGTTCGGAAGTTAGAGTGATTTCCACAGACGGACAGACGGGCGGACATGGCTAATTCGGAAGCTATAATGATTTCATTGGCGGAAAGACGCACGGACATTGCTAAATCGACATAGAATTTTAATGCTGATCAAGAATGTATATACTTTGTGGGGTCTAAAATGTATGCTTCGAGGTGTTACAAACGGAATTACAAACTTAATATACCCTCCATTCTATGGTGGAGGGTATAAAAACGCCTCTCCAAAAAAACAAAAAATAATAAATAAGTCGAGGACCCCAATTTTTTGGAGGTTACAGATTGTACGGCATATTCCACAATCTCTCTTTGAATGGCGTATGGCATGGAAGTCTACTCACTGTTACATTACTAACCGGTCCCTTATGCAGTTGACAATATATATTCAGTCCGACCACATTACGCTTCACCATTTTCAGGGAACACTGGGTGACGGTGGTGAAGTCCTCATCCAAGGAAATACATTTGATATTTGTAAAACGGCCCGAGGAATTAACTATTTCTGTGGAACAGCTCCATAGCAAGAGTAAAACTAATACGTAATTCATAGTTACGCACAACTTGTCGACTGGCAATTTCAATATTTTCGAAACATCAAAACATCATATGTTGTTGTTATTGACAACAAACGTTTTGTTTTTTTTTTTTAAAAAATAATTAAATCGAGGAAAATTTGCAAACAAAAAAATCCATTAAAAAATCCAACCAAAATATAATTGATTTTTAAATGTGGGTTATTAACAAAAAATTTTTAGCAAAATCTATAGATAATTTTGATGTTCCATATTCTATTAGGGGTTGAAACGTGCTAAGTTTTAAGTAAATTGCTTAAAACTTGATTAAAGTTTGAAAAATTGTATTTAAAAGAATGAAAATTTGAATAATATTTTTTACCGAAAAAAAAAACTGTTAGGCTTGATATTTTCTATTGAGAGGAAGCCTCAGGTGAACCTTGGGCCTACCTTTTTCGAAACTAAAACGGGGAACTGATTTTTTCTATAGAAACAAAATTAAACCCAGCTTTTTCCCAGCTCTATCCCTTCACCAACTACCTAATACCTTCCTAAAACTGGGACCTGATTTTACTATAGAAAACAAGTAAAAAAGATGTAAGTTCGTCCGGGCCGAACTTTGAATAATCTCCACCATTTGGAACAAATTTGGCCATTTTCAAAAACATAAATTCTTATAAAAAATTCTTATAAAATCTTAAAAATGCCGAATATAGCCCTTATATGGGGGTCTATACGACAACGTGGACCTGCATAGGCAATTTTTGTCATAGGCCATTACAATATTCAAATGCGAAAATTAAAAAAAAAAAAATAATAATAATAAAAAAGTTGTAAGTTCGGGCGGGCCGAACACAAATTTGGCAATTTTCAAAAAAAAAAAAAAATCCAAAAAATTCTGTTAAAATCTTAAAAATACCAAATGTAGCCGTATATTAGGGTCTATACGACGACGCGGACCTGCAGGTAACTTTTATCATAAGCTACTATAATATTCAAATGCTAAACTTGAAAAAAATCTGTTTATAATTTAGCTAAAATAAATAAAATACCGAATATAGGGAGGTACCATACCTGGACCTGCACAGACAATCTTCTGTCATAGGCTGTAGTATCTAATACGAACTTCAAATACCAAATTTGAAACAATTCCGGTAAATAATGTCGCTAAAACCATCCAAATACCGAAAATCCGGGGGGTAACGTTATATGGGGGCTATACGAAGACGTGGACCTGTACAGACAATTTTCTGTCTTAGACTGCAGTATCCATTACGAACTTCAAATACCACATTTGAAAAAATTCCAAAGAATAATGTCGCTAAAACCATCCAAATACCGAAAATCCGGGGTACAGTTATATGGGGGCAATACGAAGACGTGGATCTTCATGGCCCATTTCCTGTCTAAGGCTGTAGTATCAATTACGAACTTCAAATGCGAAATTTGAGACAATTCTAGCTAAAATCATCAAAATACCGAATATCGGGAGGTGCCGTTATGGGAGAGCTATACGAAGGCGTAGACCTGCACGGACAATTTTCTGTCATTGGCCATTGCGAACTTCAAATACCAAATTTGAAACAATTCCGGTGAATATTGTCGCTAAAATCATCAAAATACCGAATATCGGAAGGTACGATTATATGGGGCTGTACGAAGGCGTAGACCTGCACGGATAGGCTGTAGTATCCATTACGAACTTTAAATACCAAATTTGAAACAATTCCGGTGAATAATGTCCATAAAATCATCAAAATACCCAATATCGGAAGGTGCCGTTATAGGGGGGCTACACCATGGACCTACATGGCCCATTTTCAATACCAAAAGTCCAGCAGACATAATATACATTTAAGTAAAATTTTATCATTTTATACAAATTTACATTTTATAAAATTTTCGTTCGTTCGTTTCCATAGAGGGACAGGCGGACGGAAATCGCTAAATCGACATAAAATTTTATGGTGATCACGAATATTTATACTTTGTCGGGTCTAAAATGTATATATTTTGATTTGTTACAAACGGAATGACATACTTAATATACCCTCCATACTATGGTGGAGGGTATAAAAATGTCTCATTGAAAAAATTAGGCCTCAGTTTTTTTTTCCAGCTCTATCTTTTCAATCTATACCAATTTTAATAACATTGCGTTCTTTTCGTATAGCTAATGTACGAATTTTCCTTAAAAATCCCCCATTACCAAATTTATTACCATTTAGTACAACTATTGTACTCATATCCAAAAAAAAAAGTTCCTTCCTTCCACAGACCCCAAGAGTGATATCCATATCAAATTTCAAGATTTCAGCTTTATTCCTTAACCCAATAACAAATTTTGTACTATTTATTACTTTTCGTACAAATACAGTATATATTTCAAAAATAATCTCGATATCTCAATCCCATCACACCCAAGATAATCCGACTGGACCTCAATATTAAATTTCGGGATCCTAGCTATTTGCATTCTATCATTACCAATTTTAGTAACATTTAGTACTTTTCATATAATTTTAGTACTGGTAACAGAAATTGCAAATGTATAAAAATTGACGGTTTCAGCTCTCTCCACATGCCTACAGAGGCTTCAATATCAAATTTTAGAATTCCAGCTTCATTCTTTCACCAAATACTAAATTTAGTACTATTTAGTACTTTATGTACAATTTTAGTACACATTTCCTAAAAACCATCTCCATATCTCAATTCCATCAAACCCAAGATAATCTAACAGGATCTCAATATCAAATTTCGGGATTCCAGCTATACGAAATCAATCAATACCAAATTTAGTAAGATTTAGTACCTTTCGTACAATTGTAGTTCTTATTTGCAAACCCTTCCATATCTCAATCCGAGACGTCAACAGTAATCGCAACATATATATATATATATATATATATATATATATATATATATATATATATATATATATATATATATATATATATATATATATATATATATATATATATATCTGGGTTAGTTCAATTTATTTAGTACTTTTCGTACATTTATTGCACACATTTCCAAAACCACCTTCATATTACAATCCCATATACCAACAGAGGCATCAATATCAAATTTTGGGATTTCAGCTCCACCAAATACCAAATTTAGTACCACTTAGCACTTTTCGTACAATTTTTGTACGCATTTGCAAACCCACCACCACATTCCAACAGCGGATGCTAACAGAGACCTCAATATCAAATTGGTACCATTAGTACCATTAAGTACTTTTGGTACAAATATAGGACGCATTTCTGAAATAAACTTAATATCTCAACCACTGACACTAATATGGACCTCAATATCATATTTGAGGATTACAGAGCTATCCAAACCAAATTTAGTACATCCTCGTACTTTTCGAATAAATATTGTACACATTTGCAAAACAACCAAATACCAACAGAGACTTCAATATGAAATTACCAGCCTCCATATATCATTTCCGGATACTAACAAAGACCTAAATATCAAATTTGAGGTTTTCAGCCCCAACCCTTAAACCAATATCAAATTTAGTACTTTTGTACAATGATAGTACACATTTCCGAAACCAACTCCATATGTCCAGGCTGCATATAAACTATGACGCTAACCCAATGCCAAATTGTACCAAATATAGTATTATTTAGTACTTAGTAACAACCTCCATGTCTCAATTTCATATACCAACAGAGTTCCCAATATAAAATTTGAGGTTTCCAGTCCAATCCCTTAACCTCATATCAAATTTAGTACCATTTAGCACTTTTTGTACAATTAAAGTACTAATTTCCAAAAACACCTCCATATCCCATTTCCAGGTACTAACAAAGACCTCAATATCAAATTTGAGGATTCCAGAAATCTCCCTTCACCCAATTCCAAATATTGTACCATTTATTACTTTTCGTACATTTATAATACACATTCCCAACATCACCTCCATATGTCAAGGCTAAACAATACTAAGTTTCAGATTTCAAGCACTATCTATTCACCCAATGCGAAAATGTGCCAAATATTGTAGCATTTAGTACTTTTCGTGCACTTGTATTAGACATTTCCAAGTCCATCTCTGTATCACAAACCTACAACCAACAGAGACCCCAAAACGAAATTTCATTTTTTTTTCATCCGTTCACCTTAAACCAAACTGTTCCAAATGTGGTACCATTTAGTACAGTTCGCACATTTAGTACAAATTTTCCAAAACCACCTTATTTTCCAACTTCAATTCCCATACCAAATCTCAGGTTTTTAGATGTATCCGTTCATATAACACCAAAGAGTACCATTTTAGAAGTTTAGTACCATTTTGAAACTTTTCGTAACCTTAAAGTCCAAATATTTAAAAACTTTTGGTGCACCTATACTCAGTGACTCTCATTCCTAATTTTTTGAATTCCTGCTCCATCGGTTCATCACAATTCCAATTTGTACCAAATTTAGTACAATTAAGGACACATAAGTACGAAATTCCATAGCTTCCAACATACCCCAATTCTGACTCCCACAATAATCCCAATTCCAAATTTTAGGATTCCAACCCTGCTGGATCGACCGGCAGTAATGTTGTTTCCAATTTTCAATTAGTTCGCCCAAATCCAAGTTGTACCAAATTTTGTACCTTTTTGTAGTTAAGTGTACAGATTTTCATAACTCCCCACATCATACAGTCCAATGGAAATCTTTTTTTCCAAATTTCGGGATTCCAACTCTAGTTTTTGACCCAAAATTGAAATTATACCAAATTTAGTACCATTTAGTACACACAAGTACGAATTTCCAAAACTGTCTACATTTCTTAGTCCTAGTATGCCATAGTAATCTTATATCTAAATTTCAGAATTCGAGCTCTATCGTTTAGCCCAAATCGGAAATGTACCAAAATTTACTATTATTACCCTTTAGTACTTTTCGTGCACATAGGTACAAATTTCGAAAACTACGTCCAAATCCCAATCCTACACTCCGGCATTAATGTTAATTTCAAATTTCACGATTCCAGCTCCATCCGTTCCTCCAAATTTAAA